TTTGGTGGAGAAGCATAAGGAATTGATGGAGAGCCACGCAGATTTGGCGGAGAAGCATAGGGAATTGATGGAGAAGATTGGTCTTTCATCGGCGTCAACCGAATACCATCTTCATTTGTATTTTCTTCTAACCCTGCTAAATCAATAGTACGTAAAGCTGCATAAATATTATCACTTGATAATCGTGTTGGAGTATTGAATGATCTTGGCACTGCAATATAGAAGAAGAATGCGATATTGAAATTAAAGAAATCTCTTATACCATCTAAATTCTCGACGACACATTTATCTTTGAATTCATCTAGATCTTCTTTGATGATATCTTCTAAATATGCTATCAAATTTTCACGAAAACTTGGGTCTTGAATTTTGTTCTTCATATCAGCTGGCTTCAAGTCATGATTAAGCCAAATAAGGAGATGCAAATGAAGTGAACCTCGTCCTTGACTTTCAACAGTACCAAAATATGCTTTCACAGGACCGACTACACCACCAAGAATCATTGTATCTAAGATATTAGAAATCAATATATGGAAAAATTTGGCAGTAGCAACAGGATGAGAAGCGATAATTTCGGCACGCTTGTATGCGTCCATAAGTTGTTCGGCTTGAACATTGTCCAAATCAAGTTTCACACCTGCAAAATATAATGCTACGGGACTGTGAATATCAGCTGGATTGAGGGTGAGAAATATATTGGGCAGACTTTGATTAAAAATCATTGCATGAAGATGTGTACGTAAGGATGTACGTGAATATGCTGAACCCATAACTCGACCGCCGATTGTTTTAATATGATTTACCAGTTTACCTAAAGCCGTGTTAGATCCTTTATTGTATGTTCCTGTAGAAATATTTTTAAGAGCTGCCTCAATATCACTAGTTTTCAATGAGTGAATTTCTTGAGCGGAAGATCGAAAATAAGGTTTCGTTGCTATAAGTTGAGCATGGAAACATGCATCACGTCTTTGCAATAAATTAAAGACTACAAATATAAAACTATGATTTTTTTCGAAACGTCGATCATTGTAGCATAAAAGATAACGTATATGTTCTCGTAAATTTATGGTGAGTGGCCGTGTTCGATCTTCAGGTGCTCCAAGTCCATAACAGAATAACGTTGGATAGAGACCTGCTAATAGTTTTGGATTAAAATATTCATTGACAGGTTTGGAAGAATGAGGAATCAAGTAAATATTTTCAACATCCATTTCATCATTTGTTCCACCGTTTTTGATTTTCTTTAGAAGATAATCATTTATTTCCTCGGAAGATATCGACGAACCATTCACGTCGAGAACAGCACTATTAAGCAGAAAAAGCTCTTAAAAAGTTTTCTTTTCTAGTTGTTTCTACCTGTTATTAATAGGAATGACATTTGAGATATTCAATTCTGTTGAGTTAGATAATGGATCAGGAATATATCCAACTCTTTCAGATGGTACTTCTTTATCATTTAATATCTGTTCCATTGTTGTCATTATAGATTCTGGTATATCATCTTCAGGTAGTTGTGCGATATTATCTAGATTTATATCGATATTCTTATAAAGTATATTATATTTTTTCAACCAACGCAGCGCTTCAACAATCTTTTTCTTTCGCACTGTAAGAATTCTTTTGAGTTGAAGACGCTCTGGAGGACGAGCTCCAATAAAAATCACTTTGAGAGTGTCACAGAGATCGGCCATTTTAAGTGGTAGACTGTTAACAATATTTGGTGTATTTTGTAGAAAAGTAATACAATTGCCTTTTAATGCACCTTGGGCAGTCGCCATTGAATGAAAAGGTGACTGTAGTTTTATTATACAACTATTGTGACGGTGTAATGATATTAATTTTTCTTCTGGGATGGTTAGCCCTTGTAACTCAAGAGGCACATCACCTAACCACATGTTGTTTGCTACTGAAAATTTAGGAATCTGTTCTTTCGATAAACCATTACTGCATTTTTGACAAAGTATACACATATCTACATTATTTTCTTGATATATGCCATTGACATAGAGAATAATATCATTTGCGTAATAGAAATAAGACGACTTTGAAGTTGAAGAACCTAAAATAAAATCAGGATTGCATATATAATCTTGAATGTTTTTTGTTATCCGTATTAAATTACCGTTAGAGTTTTTCGAAGTAGATGATTGAATATTGATGACTAAATTTTTAAGTTCATCAGAAATTTTGAGTAGATGTATATTAGGAATTTCTGACATTGGCATTTTTATTGACTCCTGTTCTGGACTACGAATATTGCAGACCGCACAAGTCACTTCAGCCAATACGGACATAGACATCTGGCAAAGAAATCGTTGCAAACATTCTTTTTTCAAGTCAGTAGGAATTGGCGCTGGCCAAGTCGAATGAATTTGACTTTTTTTTTTCTTTGTCATATTGATGTTGTGCTGTTGAATAATGATGTTATCAGATGTTTGTTTTTCTAGTCTTTTTTCGGTTCTATTGGCCTGACTTCGATCCCTTTGATAATTGATCCTTAACTGATATTGATCATCTGTTTCATTTCGTCGTCTGGATCGAGCTCGTTCTCTATCTTTTGCAAGTCGATCTTGCTGTTGTTCTTCAGGATCACTTTCTCGTCTGGATCGAGGCTCGATCTCTATCTTTTGCAAGTCGATCTTGCCGTTGCTCCTCAGCCTGACTTTCCCGTCTAGATTGAGTTCGTTCTCTGTCTTTCGCAAGTCGATTTTGACGTTGTTCCTCCGTCTGATTAACTCGTCTCAGACGCGCACGTTCTCTCAAAAGAGAAAGTCGGTTTTCATGTTCTTCTTCTATGTTCGCTTGAGCCTGTTCGATTGCAATCGGGCTGATTGCTTTAGTGCGTTCACTTTCAATAATGATATCGCTACGTACACGTCTGTTGGGAGAAGATTCAAATTCAGGCATGCGTATTTGAGCGACTGCATTGTTCTTAAATGTTTTCTTTTCAGGAGTCTTAAAGAAAATAGTTTTGAAAATAAAAATTGTTAGAACATTTATTTAAGGTGTAATCGTTTACTTTGACATTAGATAATAATAATCGATTCCTATGATCAAGATCATATTGCTGATTTGGTGCTAAGAGAGGCACAAAATGATTCGGACTCCATAGATTATTATTGACCGCTCGCACGTGCATTTCTTTCCAGACATTCGACCACAAAATTGCAACTTCATAATTAGCAACGATCGACGGAATAGGTGTATATATACTATTCATCACAGCCATGCCAGCTCTAAAGTCAATTTCTGGATAGACACTTCGTATATTGCATTTGAGTACACTACATAAAGCACAAACTTCGTACAATCCTGAATATGTATGATTTTTGCATATAGCTTTAATAGCTATATCAATAAGCCCGGCACGATGCATATACATATTGGAATAAAACGCTTCATTTATTACGAGTTCAATAATCGTGCGAACTAAAAAATTGTCAAACTTTTCCTACTATCAAAACACACATGTCAAAAACCTATGCGAACCTCGTAATTCACTTGCTGTTAGTGTTGGATCATTCATCAACAGAATAACAGAATGATATAAACCATTTCCATCAGCACCAACATCGACTGGAATAAGATGCTGTACGTCCGTCGATGCTTGTTCAAGATATTCCTTTGCAATCAAATCCACCCCGTGGATTCTATCATCAAACACTCCATAAGGACGAAACTCCAATGGTGACATAATCGATTCCATCTAAACAGTACAAAATACATTTGATACCATATTAATATGTACTTACTCGTCGAATTCGTTGTACAGTATTAACAATCTCATCATGATAAACGATACTTTCAGAACACCGTTCCAGAACTTGAAGTAAACGTCCGAACTTCTGCGAACGAGTCATTCGATCACAGTTAGGACAACAATATTTCACGCATTGTGTAGAACAAAAAATACATTCGACAGTCATAATTGATAATACGACTAAATTTCAATTATATGAAAAAATCTGAAATGAGACATAAACAAAAAATCTTTTATAAAATGTACCAAAAGTCTTATTCGTTTTTCTTTTGAACGTTTCTATCGATAATATCCTTTCCTTTTCACTTTAAGTCCACGCAAAAAATTCGATTGTCAATCCAAATCCATAGTTTTCACCGCGGTGGAAGATCTCTCAAATAGGGAAATAGTCTCCTCTCTAAATATTATCTCACATATATGTATACATACGCACAATTTGTAATCAGGGAGATATTTATTTTTCCCTTAAATGTTTTTATCTTCTATAATATCTTGGCGATTCGAATTAAAGTTCTGATAGAAGAATCTTTTTCAAATTCGAATATCTCAGTTAGATCGCGATTCACCATTTACAATAGAGAGAAACTTTCTCTTCCTCAATTTACCGTCATATACATGTATGCACATATGCAACGCATAATCGCTGAATTATTCTTTTTTAGATTAGATTTTTTATTTTCTATAATATCTTGCTGAATCAATTTGAAACTTCATAAAAGATACAAATCTGAATTTAAATATCTAAGTTTGCTGATGATTAAGCATTTGTAATAAACAGAAATGTTCTCATCTATTTATATGATGTCATATGCATGTACACATATATACAATGCGCAATGAGCAACATATTTTTTTGTTTCTTAAATTTCTCAATTATTGTCATTGCATTCCTCATCGTTATCTTCATCTTACTTCATTTCTTCTATACTATAATATTATTTTATTTTCCTATATCATCATATATGTTGCATCTATATATATAGATATACTATTTGATAAATCATATATCTAGACGTGTTTTTGTTTCTTTATAAACGCCCTTTTCTCTATTATTTATCATCATCAACAAACGACAATAATAAAACACATGCTGATTCGATAGACTTTCGTTCTATAAACGATATTTGCAATTTACATTAGATTTCATTTTATTTATATTCGAAAGTAAAGGTAAAGGCAAAACGAATTTTTAAATGATAATATATCTTATTATAAATACCAATATACATATACACATATATGTACTATGTCTATATAAATGAAAGAGACTGCAGCAATACAAAATGAAAGAATATTTTTTTTATTTAAAGTTATTTCATATTTTTCTTCTTCTATTTCTTTGCATTATCATCATTTATTTTAACTCGAATAATATCACGAAATTCTAAGCAAAACACATATGAGAAACAAACGAGAATTACTATAATATATATAGAATTCTTTTTTTTTATTCAAGAAAAACATAACTATACATTCAAAGAGTTTACGTTGATGTTTTATTTAAAATATATGTAACTTGATATAAACATCTATTTCTTTCATATTCAACTATACCAAATTCTTATACATGACATGTAAAAACTAAAATTTATTTCAAGACAAATAACAAACACATATACATATACATATATATATAGATATATTAAATAAAATAATAAAAATATATCATATTATGAAATAATATATATCTATGTATAACATAAGATAATCATCATTATTATTTTCCATTTCTTTATAAAATTTTACATGATTGTATTTTTATTTTTAATATAAGAAAACATAGATAACATTCATATTTTATATAAAATAAAATCATCATGAATATCTTGTTTGATAGTTGAAATAAATTATCAATGGTATTCATATGAATATATGTGTATATTCAAATAGATATAAAATATAAACTTATTCTTTTGTCTTTTAGAAATAAGTTAATTCAATATATTTATATGAAGATGTTCTGAAATATATTTATCATTGTCTTTTGTAATTATATGATTGACTTTAATAAAACAAAATCGAGTTAAGAAATACAATAACATTAGATATTTATTTTATATGTATTGTCTGGTTCAACTATGAAATGATAAATATAAAAAAACAATTACATCTCATCATATGACATCTATAGAAATAGAAATAAATGATTCGACATAGAATTATCTATTGAAAATTAAAATGAAGAATAAAATAAATTAGAGAGACATAAAGAAAGAACTTATAATGATAACCGATATATATATATGAGAGATTTGATCAATAAATAGATAATTTAAGAATTTATATAAATAACAAAATGATCATATATAATAGATATATAGATATATAGATACATACACAACTACATATTTCATTTAATATGTAGTACTATAATATTAATGAAAAAGAACCGGCTTGTTTATTCAATTCTTGAAACAAATAAATAAATTTATTTATCTTCATACTAAATACAAAAATGAAGGGAAAAAAAGAAATAGCTGAATAATAAAATCGATTCATTCGTTTTCATACTATATATGATAGATTAAACAAAAAAAAAGAAATAGCTGAAAGAAGATTCGAATAAGTAAATGGATTGAGTCGACTTCATATTATATATGAAAATTCGAAGAAAAGCAATGAAGTAGATGAAACAACATTTGAATAAGCTAATACACTCACTCGTTTTCATCTTATGTGCGAAACTGAAAAAATGAAATAGCTGAATCAAAATCCTGAATAAGTAAATAGACTGACTCGATTTCATATTGTATATGAAAAAGAGGGGAAAAATGAAATAGCTATATGAGAATTATATACTATGATTATCTTTTCTTTTTCTTGATCATCATATATATATATAGGATTCTTTTTTTTTTCTTCAAGAAAAACAAAACTATACATTCAAAGAGTTTACATCGATGTTTTATTTAAAATATATGTAACCTGATATAACCATCTATTTCTTTTATATTTAACTTTATCAAATTCTTATATATGACATGTAACAACTAAAATTTATTTCAAGACAAATAACATATACATATACATATATATATATATTATATAGAAGAATGAAAACATATCATATTATGAAATAATATATATATATAAACATAAGACAATCATCATTATTATTTTCCATTTCTTTATAAAATTTTACATGATTGTATTTCTATTTTTAATATAAGAAAACATAGATAACATTCATATTTTATATAAAATAAAATCATCAAGAATATCTTGTTTGATAGTTGAAATAAATTATCAATGGTATTCATATGAATATATACATATATATATAATCAAATAGATATAATATATAAAGTTATTTTTTTGTGCTTTAGAAATCAGTTAATTCAATATACATATATATATATATACGAAGATTATATATAGAAGTATATTTATCATTGTCTTTTGTAATGATATGATTGACTGTAACAAAACAAAATCGAGTTAAGAAATACAATAACATTAGATATTTATTTTATATGTATTATATAGTTCAATTATGAAATGATAAACATAAAAAACAATTACATCTCACCATATGACATCTATAGAAATAGAAACAAATGATTCGACATAGAATTATCTATTTAAAATTAGAATGAAGAATAAAATGAATTAAATTAGAAACAAATAAAGAAAGAACTTATAATAATGGCTGATATATATACATATATATATATATATGTGATATTTAATCAATAAATAGATAGTTTAAGAATTTATATAAATAAAAAAATAATCATATATAATAGATATATATACATACACAACTACATCTTTATTTTTATATCTAGTATTATAATATTAATGAAAAAGAATCGGCTTATTTATTCAATACTTGAAACAAATAAATAAAATTATTGATCTTCATATTGTATACGAAAATGAAGAGAAAAAAGCAATAGCTGAGCGCAAATCCTGAATAAGACAATGGATTGATTCGTTCTCATTTAATATATGAAAGTTTAAAGAAAGAAAAAAATAGCTGAATGAAAATATTGAATAATAGAATGGATTGACTCGCCCTCATAATATATATGAAAACGAATCAAAGAAAAAACGAAATAGCTCATTTCTAATTTCCAATTCTCAAAACTAAAACAAGTTGACTCGATTTCATATCATATATGGAAACGAATCAACAAAAGAAAGAAATAACTCAATCAAAATCCAAAAGAATATCATGCATTGACTCAGTTTCATATTATATATGAAAGTTTGTAGAAAAAAAGAAATAGCTAAATCAAAATTTTGAATAAGCTAATAGATTGACTCGTTATCATATTATATATGAAAGTGAAAAAAAGGAATAGGTGAATCAAAATCTCGAATAATGCAATAGATTTGCTCGATTTCATATTATATATGAAGATGAAAGAAAAATACTGAAATAGCTGAATAAATCTTGAATAAACAAATAGATTGACTCGTTTTCATATTACATATGAAAGTTTAAAGAAAAAACAATGAAATAGCTGAATGAAAATCTTGAACAATATGATAGAATGAGTTCATTTCATCTTATATTTGAAAACGAATGAAACAAAAAAGAAACAGCTGAAGCAAAATCCTTAAGAATAATATAGATCGACTTGGTTTCATGTTATAGATGAGAACGAACGAAAGAAAAAAAGGAATAGCTGAATAAAAATCCGAAGTAAAAGAAGGAACTGACTCGTTGTCATATTATATATGAAAGTTTAAAGAACAAAAGAAATAGCTTATTGACAATTGTAAGTAAAAGAAAGGATTGAGTCGTTTTCATATTATATATGAAAAAATGTAAAGAAAAAAAAGAAGCAGCTGAACGAAAATGCTGAAGAATATAATAGATTTACTTAGTTTCATAGCATATATGAAAACGAGTAGAAGTAAAAAAGAAATAACTCAATGAGTATGTTTATGACTAAAATTAGTTGACTCGATTTTACGTTATATATGGAAACGAATAAAAGGATGAAAAGAAATAGCTGCATGAGAATTCTCAAGACTAAAACAGATTGACATGGTTGGATATAATATATGAAAATGAAATGTAAGAAGAAAAGAAATAGTTGAATGAAGAAATATAACTAAGCACAAAAGTTTCGATATTACAATATATTTATTTGGTTGACTTTTTTTTTGGAAATTATGGGATTGTTCAATATAACAAAACATTTTGTGTCGAAAGAAATTTATTAGTTATTAAATATTCGAAAAACAAATTTTCTATAAATTAAAAGTTCGAAATCAAGAATGACTTTTTTCAATTCAACTCTGTAGTATTATCCTTGTAAAGCTGCTTTGTTTTAGAATCAGTATAAATTATTAAATTGTTGATTCAATTATATGTTAAAACGCTAAAGAAAATAAATTACCAAAATAACTTTTTGTACTGATACATAATAGAATACCCCTTGCATATGATCAACTTTTCATTAACGATTACTTAGAGGTATTTTTGAATGATCTACGATTTGAGATTCGTTAAAAAATATTGTAAATCACTGAAATATATTAAAATGCAACCTGTCGGCATGTGTGATTTGATTTTTTCTTCCTTCAAATGTATGATTAATATGATGATTGTTGACGTTGTCAGATGATAATAGTCATCCATTTCATAAATCGGTGCAGTTCAATGTCCTGAATGTTTATTTTTTTCCATTTGATATTGATAAGAGCGTTATAGATGAGCGTGACTTCATATATATATAGAAAGAGAGAAAGAGAGAGAGCTACATATATGAATGAATAAAACTTTAACATACTTATTTCGAAGTCGTTAACACTTCATATCCACTGGAGTCAATTTTTTTTATGAAAGCAGGTCTGTAATTCGTGCTATTTTTAGATAATTTGTATAGGCTTTTACAAAAAAATTTATTTTATGATCATGGCTTCGAATGTTGCTGAAGTGAGAATACAAAATAATATTCTCCAACATGGTTTTCCTAACCAGGAAAACCTTTTTGCAATACCACCCGTCGTTCGGGCTTATCTCGACGACGGGCATGGCGATACGGGTGCCTTTGTTTTAATTGGATACTTGGGTCAGGAGCCCGTGTACAGAACAACTCACACACTGGCCCATTGTAAGAATGTATTTTTATGTATTTGCAGGACTCTATGAGTAACTTTTTTTCTTATGTAGATTTGGAAGGGAACGAGCCAGGTGAACTTCGTATCCACTGGCCGCCCCTCTTTCCAGATATTTGGATACCAGTGTGTGACTTACTACAACTGGATGTCACGGTGCACAGAAAAGTAAGAGTCGATTTCTAAAACAAAATAAATATAGTTTTAGCCGAAAAATCTTAATACTTAGAGAAAACATGCTTTTACCTCTTGCTATAAAATATAAGATGATCAATGTTGAACATATAATCTATTGTAACTAGATGAATTCTCTTCTAAATTTTCGTATATCTAAAATTGTCATAAAAAATGTAAAGGTATTTATACTAGAGACGATAAATGTTTTTATATTCTAAGAAAAATCTGAAAATCTTATTAAGAAATATTCGCTATTATCAGTTTTACTATATTTATCTTAGTGAACAATAGAATACTCGAGATTTGTATATATCGTAATAGGCTTTTTTCTTTTATAATTGTTCGAATGACATTGACATCTATCGAAATGCTCAAATGAACAAAACAATGTTCCGAGATTACTCATTAATAAAAGAAAAGATAACGATAAAATAAATTATATTCGAACTTCACTCATAAACTACGTGACTGTAAAGCTAAATAAGAAAGATAAAATTAGATAAAAAGAGTTTTGACTGTACCAGTATATTTGTCTTGTCTTTGCTCGACTAAAGTAAAAATCTATAGAAAATAAAATAACTTCAACTTATAAATAGATAATGTTTCTTCTGTAATAAATGAATGAATATAAAAGTATTTTATCATACGTAACACGGTAAGTACGTGGTGAGCTTTTTTGTAACATAATGCTTGAGTATCAAATACTAAAACGATATCATCTTAACATCAATTTTAAGGAGTATAATCATTAAGATATATTGATATTCTCACAGCTAATTTCACTCACAACTGTCAAAAAAGTATGTTTCCTTCGAGTTTCTCATTCATAATTAACTTAATCGGTTAATGCAGCATACATTTAAAATCGATTATTAAATAAAAATGATTTAAATGATTATTTTTATTCTGAAATCCTCCTCAAGTCAGATTTTATTTCCCTTTTGTTACATGAATAGGACGCTATACTTTTTGTACTATAGCTAGGACTACAATTATCATAAACAATAAATGAGATTTATCTAGTTATTATAGATTAAATGTTCAACTTCAAGAATTATGAGATTTGTAAAAAAAAAAGAAAAGAAAAAGAAGTTTTTAAAAGATTTCTCTCAATTTTTTATTCATTTTGCTCAATTAATTTTTTTTT